ATAAATAAAGAATATTTGAAATATTAAATGTAAGGGGCTAGGGATGTGATACAGTGGTGGAACTCAAGTAGGGTATRCATGAAGGCTCATTTCCTAGCACTGCCAAAAAATAAAAGTAAAAAAAAAAATGAATAAATGTTGAATTTATATGAAATTTCTCCAAATTTCAAACTTTGTATTTTTAAGAAAATAATCAAGCTTCTTCACAAATGTAATTTTAATAGTAAAATTTTAGGTTTTAAATGGTCAATCAYGATTCCTGAGCAAGACTTTTGAACAAAGTTCTCTTCATATTCTTGAGAATCACTGTTGACCAGAAATGTTATTGATAAAATTAGCAAAACCATTTTTAATAGCTATAAAGCCATTCGAAAATTGTAAGATTTCTTATAAATCATAAAATTATAATCAGATAAATTATAATCAAATAAATGTTCTTCTTTTCAGTCACTATAAAGATAATATAAGATTAAATATTACTCTGGTGATGCAAATAAATTTCAATTCCAAACAAAACTTTTACATATTAGATATTTCAAACTGTTGATGGAATTCTAATTTTCAGAATATGTACGTAATGATAAAACAGTTTTTTCTGATGCTAACTTTAAGACCAAAATCACACACTCTAAACTAGGAAGTTCTGTCTTAAATTTACAAAAACAGATCTGCAATCATCACATAGACCTGTATCCACAAGATGATCCACTTCTTTGATCCCTCCTCTACCTCTTTTCTCTGAATTTATGAGGGTCTGCTCTGTTTTTCTTGAGCATATAGGACTCTCACAAACTTCATGAGCCTCTTGTCCTTGTTGGGTTGCAGYGTATATTCACTCTAGCCATGGATTGGCTGACCAGACAGTGGCGCATATACAAGAAAGCTCCAGAGGATGGATTATCAGAACTCTTCCCATCTCAGGAATGGCTCTGTCCTCCCAGATTTCCTTCCTATGTTCCAAAGCCAAAGGAGATCAGTACTTAAGACACAATCTTTTCTACTATKCACTGATTGAGAAACTCAGTAGCCAGAGAAACATTTGTTAAGTCTCTTACAAACCTTCTGAAAACAATTCTAAAGATATAAAAGGTAAATATGATATTCATCTCTCTATTAGGTATGCAAATTTAATATTTCGAAGGTTTCAAATGGGGTTCTACAGTTTGATCAAGTCTTAATACCATGTGACATGTAACACAAGGCAGTCTGATAAGAGACAGGTTGTAATATTATAGAATATAAGGCTGGAAACCTAGTCATCAGATTCTTCTTTATATGCCTAAAGTCCTTAATTCATTGTAATTTATTGGTTGATTTTTACCTCTTTTGTAAGTGGAACAAATKAAATGAAGTTGTGATTTTACTGAAGTAAATTCTCCTAAGAATTTTATTCTCATTTTTTTAGAAAGGTAATTTACATTCTCTCTCCAAAACAGTAAATACGTTTATAATGTTTCTACAAGAAATCTCGCAAAAAGCCTGCCCACTTGCTCTTTATTATTGCTACTAGAGTCTTGCTCTTACCCCTGATTTGAGTGAGGTGATGAACCTGAAGTCAAGTGTATTCCCTGCCCATATATGCTCTGAGAGTGATTACAAAAGGATAAATATTTTCCTGCTCTGACACAGATTCCTGAATGATGGCAAAGCCCTCTATTGTCTATCCTGCCTAAAAGTAAGGAGTTCATTTGTATTTGTTCATATTGGAAAAATGTTATTTTATCAACCAGAGGGTTGAATTTAGTGTGGTGATGTCTGAATCCATGGGGGATATTTTCCAAGGTTCCCAGTGGATACCTAAAATCAAAGGTAGTGCTTAACACCATCTACACTGTTTTGTTTTCTATTTGTATGGCAGCTTTTTTTATTTAGTAGTAGAGTTAATCTGCTTTTTCATGTTTTAATCTTTGCTTCACTACTCACGAGCCCTGGTTCATAATTAAGTAAATTAAGTGTTACTTGAACATCAGCACTGCAATTCTAGGATAGTCACTAACTTCTTGGGCCGGCATGCCCATGTTAGGTTGCAAGGCATCCTCACTCTAGCCACTGAGTAGATGTTCTGATGGTGGTGTGCATCCACAAAAGCACCACAGGGTGGATTATCAGACTTCTCTCCATCTCAGCAATAACTCTAGCTTCCCATATTACAATGAACAAGTGAGAAATGGGGGAGAAGGTTAGCAAATATAGGATAAATWCAATGGACCAAAGGAAGATTCATATCCTAAGCCCAACAAAGCAGATGGCATGASATGTTATCATACTCTCAGAATAGCAGGCAATTTTAAACTTGTAAATTGCTTATTTCTGGAATGTTCTATTTAATATCTTCCAACAGTGGTTGACCTCACATAGMTACAATTGTGGAAAGAAAACTCTGGTATGATATTGTTCAGAGTAGAATAAAAAGACATCAGAATATTTTGTTTTCATTGATATCTCAGTTGCATAATGTCTTATAATTTTGACTTATTGTGTGTCTAAAATAACCCTGGAATTACACATAACTTAAAGATTGAGATCAACTCAGTTTTTAAGTTATAATTACACTGAGCTAAATTTTATTAGAAGCTTTTCAAAAAGCAGGAATAAATGTTCCCTCAGCAAACCTCATCTTTGATAAAATTTCCTCCACCATTTCCCAGAATGATGTTGGTGACTACTGTTTTATATTTGGAAGGAGTAGGATTAGAAATAGACATGTGGAATTGTGTATTTGGAAGTTTCATTATTTTAACAGTTAACAACAATAGCCAGCRTWTTTGTGTGTATCACAAACTTTTCTAAAGTGTTTGTATTAGTACAAGCACTATTGTTTCACAAACCTAAATGGGTTTAGATTATAGGCTGCATTGATCCAATTTTTCTTACTTGCTCTTGAGATTATCTTGGCCATATGGGGGAGATACTATGGTGGCTTTAGGTTCCATAGCCATATATAATAACACCAAGAAGAGAGAACTTACAAGCATGTGTGAATACACACAGTCTCTTTGGGGTGTCTATTCATATTCATCAGTGCTTATCTGCATGGACTTTGAAGTAAGAAACAGCTCTCTCTGAATCCTCTATTTGAATGGAACTGATCTATCTGCCCATTACTGAACAAATTTCTGCCACAAGGGAATGTTACACATGTATAGGTTTAAGGGTAAGTTTCTAAATTAATTACTAAGTTAACAGAGGGATGGATTAACATGGCTGGCTCAAAATCATCAGGCCCTACCACTGAGCTGAGCTGGGATCAGTATCCCAAACTGCATGGATATTATACAGTGGTGGTAGTAGAATGAATAGTAACAGGCGGCCACAAAATCCACTGTTATATGTTTATGGCCTCATTTAATTCTGCCCAGGGCCTAAAAAGTAGGTTCCTTTAGAATGCCTCCTTTTATTAGTTGTTTATGTTACTCAAGTTCCATGGTTTGAATGACAGCTTATTTTAATAAAATCTCCCAATGTTTGGCCTTATATTCTCTGTACTAATTWACCGTATTTAGAGATTGTAACCAAAAGGTGAGAGATTGCTCCTAGTTTGAACAGCACTCTTATACACATCCATATCCTCACGTTTACTTTGATATTTCTGTCACTTGAATTTTTCTTTGATTACTGTTCACTTTGAGACCTAAACCTAGTATTAATCCCCTATGAAGTGTCTAAGAAAAAAGTACACAAAATCTGATTTGCTTTATAATTAAATGGTTTTGTGCCCCTTCAGACCTGAAGAACACATGTTTTTTGAAGTGAGAATGAATTAATTACTGATGCCTACACATTTGATAAAGGTGGGCTGCAGATTTAGATCTAAATTCTAGTAGCCAAGACAAAGGACTTTAAAAGTAATGATATACTTAGGGTAAAATTAATACTTTTAGGACCAAGTAAGAGTTGGAACAGATAGTAATCAAATAAAACTGAATTATCATTATGAACACCACTGCTTTATTTTTTAAAAGGTGCTGGAATGCTTCTTTTAATAAATGAAAAATTATTCTTCCTTTTAAATTTCTTTTTCCCTTATTAAAAACACAACACCTTTTGCCCACTTCTTAGAATAGTATTGGTTAGAGTTTTAGGACTGGAAGGAAATTCTTTTCTAATGAGTTATTACATACATCATTRGCTTCCGTTTAAAACTGTTGTGGGTTTGTGAACAATAAACAATAAAACAATAAACTCCTAGGTGTTTGCGAAATGAGTATTTGTCAAACCCATCAATGAATAGATAATCTTAATTACACCCAATAATGGGTCCTCTCTCTGTTCTGGAAATCTTTAGGCAAACATTTTATTATGTACTTTTAAATGGCATTTCCTTCAGCTGTTTATTTCTGTAAGAGTCATCAGAGCTATTTTGCTCTGGAAATTAAAAAACAATGATAGTGTAATTTTAGAATAAAATTTTATATTCATTTAAAATTTTCAACAAAGTATTATTCTTGAAGTTGACTTTTTTCTTTCAATTAACCTAGGGTTCAGTTCTAATAATGAAAGAACAATGTGAAGCCCCAGAATTTAGCAGAGAGCCAGTATAAAAAAGACCAATATACTTTTCAAATTGATATTAAAATTTCATTCAATAACGTTTCCTCACTTGAAACAGCATGTCTCTGGCATTACCTAATTATGATAAGCCTCAATACAGATCCCTCCTTCAGGAAAATCTCAGAAAATTTCTGCATAGGGATATTTCCAAAACGAAAGGAAGCGCAGCGTTTTGAACATCTGTCCAGGAACTGTCAATATGAATGCCTCACAACTATTCGCTTCCCACTAATAGCCTTTTCCATAACTGGAAAAAGCAAAAAGTTCAGGACTTTTCTCCAGTGTAAGTTTCCTAGATTCAAGGAACCCGGATAAAGCCGCCGTAAGATTGACATGAACTTTGTCCAATAGTGTGGCAGAGGGGAGTATCRTTTCATGGACGCTCCAATCAGCGCGCAGAGAGTCGCCGTCTCCAAGGTGAAAGCGGAAGTAGGATTTTGGCGCGCCAAATGGAACCGCTTCTGCAGCACCTGGAGCGCTTTTCTGAGGTTTTGGCGGTCTCCCGCACCACCCACGTAAGCACCTGGGACCCAGCGACGGTACGAAGGGCTCTTCAGTGGGCTMGCTACCTGCGCCACGTCTACCAGCGTTTCCGCAGCCATGACCACATCCGCACAACTCTGGAAAGGCGGTTGCACTGCTTGTGGAAGGAAGGCGGCCTTGGGGTGGKTCCAGTCCCTGGACTGAGGAACTTTGAGGCCCTTGGGCACTGTGACATCCTGCTGTCTCTACGCCTGCTGAAGAACCCKGCCCTGGGGGATGCAGCTTGTCGCTACCTGCTGCAGCAACTCTTTCCCGGCGCGGGCGTCCGGGATGCCGATAGGGAACTGCTCCAAGACAGTCTGGCCAGCCTCGCTCGCCGCGGGTCTGCGGTCCACATGCTGCGCTTCTGCATCTGCAAGGAGAACCCGAATCCTCAGGACGACTCACTGATGAAGACCCAGGCTGAGTTGCTGCTGGAGCGTCTGCAGGAGGTGGGCAAAACCGAAGCGGGAGGCCCCAGCAATTTGCTCTGCAGCCTGTGGGAGCGCCTGCCACAGAACAACTTCCTGAAAGTGATAGCGGTGGCGCTGTTGGAGCCTCCCATGTCTCCCCAGCCCCAGGGAGAGGAGTTACTGAGTAGCCCCAGAATCCCTGGAGAGGGGAGTCAAGAGCTACTCCACTGGCTTCTGGGGAAGTCGGAAATCATGGCTGCCTTTTGTCGCAACGTCCCCGCGGGTCTTTTGACTTTGGTGGCAGGTCGCTACCCAGCACTTTCTCATGCCTATCTGAGTGTGCTAGCTGACTGGAGTCAACGTCTGCACTACGACCTTCAGAAAGGCATTTGGGTTGGAGCTGAATCTCAAGATGTGTCCTGGGAGGAGTTGTACACTAGATTTCAAAACCTCTGCCAGGCACCCCCACCTCTGAAAGATGAGGTTCTAACTGCGCTCAAGTCTTACAAGGCGCAGGATGGAAATTTCGAAGTTCCTGGTCTTAGCATCTGGACAGACCTGTTGTTAGCTCTTCAGAGTAGTGCGTAATACCACATTTGGTCTGTTTTAGGTCTGAAGCCAACACTAATTCTCCATGAGCAACGTTTGTTATTTGAATATGTAGTTTACAAAACGATAATTCTATGTTGAAAAGGAAAAAGCAGCTTTTTTTTTTTTTTTTTTTTTTTTTTTAGTATGGTTTACCCTTAGTTTGGTTTGGTTCCAACTCTGCCCCAGTGCCCTTCCAGTGAAGAGTTTTCTTTAACTAACAACATGTGGTGTCAGAAATGTTATTTTGAAAAACATATTAGCCTATTTGGAATTTAAGCCCTGGACTTTGGCCTTGTTKATCTAGTGTTCTAACCAGTTAAGCTGCCTCACCATGCAATTAAAATTGTTGTTTTGTTTCTTGTTTTAGCAAATTACTAATCTCTCTGTAAGACCACATAGTATGTTAATTTAAAATATTGAATTCAATACACAAAAAATGAATTAGAAGACCCAGTTGTTACTTCTGCCATTAATTAGGTTAGTAGGTCACAACCTTAGTGCAACAGTTACTTCTTATTAAATGAAGTGTTTATACTAAAATAATTAAATTTTATTGTTCTTCCCTTAGTGACTRCCTTATGAAGACCATTTGGAGTATTTATTTTGAGTGTTGGAACTTAATTTTGTTAGTTTCCTTGAGTATTCATCAAGTAGCAGAATAATTTAGTCATTTTTATTGGGGATATATAAATTTCCAGCAACCGAGGCATTTTTGTCCATATCCAGGTTAACTGATAACAAGAGTGTTTGGAATGTATTGCTACTCAGAAAGTTACGTTCTAATTCCAGAAATGAAATTAGAACAAAAGGGTCTTATCTTGTAGAAAATTTTATTCTGTAGTGAAAGTTCAGAGGAAAGTAATGTTCCCCCAGGAAGTATACTTTCTAAAATAATCTCGAGTGAACAACAGCAAATTCTTATTACCTGTGGTCTTATTCCTTTTTGTAGCTGTAATTGATATAGACCATCTTTTAGATTGCATTTGCCAAAAATAGTAAAACAACTTCTTGTGTTAATTACATGAGTCCTATTTCAAGAAACAACTCAGTAAAGAGTTGTGCCATGACAAGTCCTAATACTAGTTTTAATTTTAGGAACTAGCAGTTTGTGAACTCTTTCCTCATTGCTACATCTAACATTATAATATAAGATAAAATAAGGATGATATAGACTTAACATTTTAAAATATATTTTTGTACTGATCATTTGTTAATTTTTTTTTACTTTAAATTCCATGGTATATTTGTTACATATGTAGTCTTATTTAATCTCATTTAATCTGTGTTCCAAGACTATATTCTATGTGTATAAACTGAAAGAGATGAAGTGAAATGCCCAAGGGCACACACAAAAGCAAATAAGAGTAGAAGCCATATCCGTTATTTATTTTGTTTCCAAGAGTTTAGTACAGTATCTGGCATGTGTTTTATGTACTCCTAATGTTTGAATAAATAAAATCAGCACTGGAACCTTAATCAGTACATTTTCTTATATTTTAAAAAATATTAAGTACTTGTAAAGTTCCTATTGAATTTAATAGCTTACATATCTCTTTAGGACTGCATGTATAGGATAGGAGAAAAGATGAAAGAAGTATATAAACATGAAAATATCGGAAAACTTTATAAAATCCAGAAATATTTATTTTGTGGTTCATCCTATTAAATGTTTATTTGTTTTGGGATAGGTTTGTGTCTCAGTAGTAGGTGAAGTACTTGCCTAGCATGTGTGAGGCACTGGGTTTGATCCTTTGCACCACATAAAAATAAATAAGTAAAATAAAGTTATTGTGTCCATCTACAACTAAAGTTTTAAAAAGTTTATTTGTTTGATTTCTCTTATGTTTTATTTCTCAGCTGTTTTTGCTTTACTAAATTGTTTCTTTTATTTTCTTATTCTGTTTTCCCCTCTACCAGTTGGGATGTTCCACACCTGAGCTTTTACTCTCAAAACTTTTATCATATTTAATTTTAAAATATCTGAAACTATTTAATATCTTAATCCCCTTTCTTAATGATATAATAGACTTAAGTCTGCTGTTTATCCCAAACTCACAAGTTATTTTCCAGTGTTTTGAGTTTTGTTCTTTATTCTAAAAAAAACAGCAAATGAGAACAATATAATATTTTATGCAGAAAAGTGTTTTTTGATTTACCTACATTTTTAGCAGTTTTGTTCTGTGATTGTATAAATCCCCAAATTTTGTTTCCTCAGATATTAATACTGGCCTTGGTTTACTTGACATCTTTTTTGTTGTTCAGAAATTTCCTTGGAGAAAATGTCTTGGTGACAACCATTTTTAGTTTTTGTACACAAACATCTTTGTCAATGTTAGAAGGTAKTTTTGATGTGTATCTGTTTCTAAGTTAACATTAAGTATATTTACTTTTTTCAGATGTTTATTGTTGATATTAAGCAGGATATTGTCAGTATACTTAATAGTTCTTTTGTAAGTGATCTCTTTCTGTTTTCTTTTTTCTTGGTTCAGTGTTTGTACTCAGTACAGTGTATTTAATTGTGAATTTCTTTTTTTGCTTGTATGTTATATATGTTTGTGTTTTATTTTTCTAAGGATTTTGTTTTTCTCTGTTCTGAACAATTCTCAGCAATTTCCCCCCAGTGTTTTCTTTCCTCCACATTTTATATTCTCTCCTGTGACTTATCCAGACTATATCAGAACTCCTCATACCACTCTTCTATCCTATTAACTTTCTTTCCTGGCTCCTTTCACCAATAGACTTTGTGCTACTACAGAAATTGCTATTATTATCCAGGCCCATGTCTCCATTTTCTCTGTAGTAATAATATCCTACCCCCCCCCCCCAGGTTTTAGTTAGAAATGGCCACCCTACATGAGAGTAAATTTCTTCTGCAGTTACATATACCCACAACTCTAGATTTTGGCTACTTTGATATAAGGAGAAGTAATATGTACAACCTACAACTCACACCCTAGAAATAGGAAGTCATTTGTTCATCATGCTCTATTTTCCCTTTTAGTAGGCTGGAAAGTGTAGCGAGCCACCTAGAATCATGGCTGAAGATGACTGGAGCAACTGCTATAGACTCAAAGATGAAGTCACACGTCCACAGAGGTAAAACAGCTTACCTGTATATCCCATTCTGTTACAGGGGAGGAAGTACACTATTRTCTACACTGTTTCTCATCCAGATCACCATTTCAGGGTTTCTTTGTCATATCCACATTCCTGTAATCCTAAATTAGTATTGATACAGTCTTGGCAATTCTGCATGATCTATCTGATATTTAAACCATAAGTTTTAATTTTCAACACCATTTTTTTTCAAAACTTTATTTAGCTTTCATTCTCCCATATCTGCATGGCCGTATTTAATAACCTTGCTTTTGTGTGTGTATGTGTGAGATTCCATTTTTATTTTTTAGCATTGTTATTTGATAATTTGTATTAATCATTCAGAATCTAAATTCCCTTGAAATTAAAACCTATTCTATTGATTTCTCACTCATGCCAGTTAGTTTCTTTACATGTTTTGTAGTATCTGTGAGTTCACATGTATTTGATCTTTATCTATGGAAACCTGGGAATCTAAATAGGTTATTTTTTCTCCCATAAGGGCATTTTCAAATATTTCTGCAATAAACATAGAAAGCTCTAACAAGGGCCAGTTTGGCAGATACCTAAGCTTAATGTAAGAATTTTGGCTTTAGTTTCTTTACTTGTGATTTGGGAGTTTCCTTTATGTTCTGTAATCCAAACAGTATTAAAGATGTGCTTTTTTGAGAATCTACTTGTTTATAGCAGTTGGGCCTATGGAATATCTAGCCAATGCTTGCCAGGGTAGAAGTCCTCATTTTCCTTTTAATCCCAYACCAACATGTCCTCAACACTCCTCTGGAGTAAGTATTGTCTATCTTACAAATCATCCCTGTAATGCCACATTCAAAGGATACTTTATTGGCATCAAGTTATCTGCCCCCTCAGTAGCATTAGCTATTTGCTACCATTACCACCTTTTTGAAATTGGGCTTGAAAGCCCGTGGTTATGACCTATATTACAATACTCTATCCTAGTCTTTTTTTTTTTCTTTTTTTTTTTTTTAATATTTATTTTTTAGTTATCGGCGGACACAACATCTTTGTTTGTATGTGGTGCTGAGGATCGAACCCGGGCCGCACGCACGCCAGGTGAGCATGCTACCGCTTGAGCCACATCCCCAGCCCTCTATCCTAGTCTTAACTAATTTTTCCTTATTGAACATCCTGGTTCCTTCTCTCCTAATCAACTTTTAAATGTTAGCAATATCTCAAGAGTTTAACAGCTTTGTTTCCTCTTTGTTGTGTACTTTCACTCATGTGAGATCATCCATTTTCACAGTTTTAAATATTACCTGTATATTGTCAGTTGCAAAGTTTGTATCTTGAACCCAGAGCTGTTAACAGAGCTTCAGAAGTAACACCTGAATRCCTTATTCACAAGCCTCTCAAACCAAACATTTCCAAAACAGTTCTTACTATTGCCACAGAAGCTTTCTTATCTCCAGATATTTCTAAGTAAATAGCCAGGAACTCGGAGATTGTCCTTGAATTATTCCTTTCTCTTAAGCTTTTCATCTATTCCATCAATATGTTCTCCCCATTCTCCATTTGTCACTCATCACCTGATGCTAATAGGCTGTGGTTACATTAACTAACTTCTTATTTGTTTTTGGAGCCATCACACTCCAAAAAACATATTCAAAAAATATTCTAAAGTGTAATCAAAACAATATATCACTGACATAAAAGCAGATACCTTGACCAGTGGGATGATAGAAAACCCAGGAGTAAACCCAAATGTTTATGATAAATTGAATTATTGTAAAGGTGCCAAGAATACATAATGGGGAAAAGATGATCCCTTYAATGAGTGGTGTCAGGAAAACTCCCATGCAGAAGAATGAAATCASACCCTGATCTCATACCATACACAAAATCAACTCAAAATAGATTAAAAATTAAATAAAATTCTGAAACTATAAAACTACTAGGAAAAAATTTTTTAAAAACTTTAAAACATAGGGAA